GAGTATACATGTGTCATACTTTTGATTTTTCCCTGTACAAAAAAACTGCCATGGGAGGCTTCAAGTTTGAACAGAGGAATGGGGGATGGGAAGAGCTACGTAAGCCTTTCCTCCTCCAGTCATTTTTTTTTTTTTGTCCAAAATTTATTCCAGGTCCTTGAACCTTAACTTCAGAAACTTCAGAACCAAAAACTTCAGAAAACAAGTACGAAATAGTGTAATGAAGATGTTTCAAAGTATAAACACAAAACATCATTCTCCACTGTTTATCTAAACATTGCCTTTTTTTCAAGAGATACTCTGTGTCAGGACTGAGGGTCTCAATTTACTTCTGTCTCAGCTTTCATTCTAGCAGAAAACGTGTAGGAGAACTGGTTTATCTAATGAATATTACAGAATGGAGTTAACTTTTCTATAGCCTCAGTTCTGTGTTGCCTGATACATTGTAAATTTTAAATATGAAGCTGATTTCTGTTTGTTATAAAAACCTGATGTACATATTTATTATTTATTTATTACTTTCAGTTTATATACCGCTCCAACCCCGAAGTGTCTCTGAGCGGTTTACATACAACTTTTAATACCTAACTAGGGCCACATTATATCTGGGGGAGTGACGGCCTACCGGCACCCAGGCAGTAGGGCTCTCTCTGATTGTTGTTGTGCGGCTCTTTCTTTTGGCGTTTGGCGTTCCCCGGTGTTCTACCTCCTGGCGTCTTAAATTGGGTCTTCCTCACCTCCAGCGACTTTCTCCGGCGGACTTCATCCCGGTGTGTGGCTTCACACCAGCCGCAGCTCCGGCTTATGTCCTTCTGGCTCCGCCGCGCTGCCACGTCACCACGCCTCCATGATTCCGTCCCCGCCCGGATTCATCACTAGGTCGCCAGGGCTTATCGCTCGCTCTGCCGCCGCCACTATCTGCCGCCGCCGATGCTCCTGCTGCACACCGCCCACATGGAGGAGGGTGCCCCCTGCCACCTAGGGGCTGGTACCCAATTTATCTACTTGCTTACGCTTTCGAACCGCTGGTTTTATTTGGCATTCACTCACTAATCCTTACTAGCCTTCTTTCCTGTTTGGGTGTGTTTTATGTAAAATGTTCATCACCTTGGGGAACCATGAATTGGGTGGAAAGGTGGCATCAAAATGTTTTAAAGAAAATAGTAGAGTTAGATAGGATAAACACATCTAGAGCACGCAGGGTTTGTTCATTATTTTCAGTTGGTCTCCAACCTCCATTTGCCTTGCCAGCTTATTTGAAATTTCTAACAATTCCTGCTTACAGCAGAGCCTTTTTTTCTAGCCAGGATAAATGCGCTCCCATCAGACGTTCTGAGGGGCCGCTATATGAGGATCACATTCCAGGACAGCTATTGCAGATATGGAACAAGAGAGCTTGAAACATTGGATCATATGATCTTGTTTTGTCCATGGTGTGAGCCATATAGCGCTAAATGGCTGGATCCAATCCTGAGAAATGTACTATCAGTTGATAGCACTAAGACTGTACCATACTATAGGATGAGGGTACAAGGATTACTTTAGCCATGGCAAACCTCGCTCGTCTATTCCCCCCACCCCCGTCCGAAGCGAGCCCCGGCGGCTGCAGTTGGGACCGTCCCAAGTGTGCACAAACATCTCCCTCCCCCCCAGGTGCCCCCGATGCACGGATTTAGGTATCTGCACACAGGGGGCGCCTTTCGGTATTAGATATATAGATGCTGCCCGAGCACATGGTCTCTCTTACCCTCTCCATGACCCCTATAGAAGTTTTAACCCTCTTATGTCCAGCTTACTATCCACATACCCTACCTCCATCTTTAACCTCTAGTCTGCAGCTAGAGTCCACGTGGTTCTGTTGGTTCAGAGCACATGTTCACAATTTTCTATTTCTAAACCCCTCCATTCTTCCATTGGAACGGCTCAACTAATGAAGACAGGTAAATATCTCCCAACCCACCCAGCGAATATCCTGTTAAAGCAACTGTATTAAGGATCTATCTTTATTTCCTAGCATATGTATAAATGTGTATGTGGTTGTGTATTGTTTGAACGATATATATCTCCCAGTAAAGAGACATTATATTTTACTGAATCCAGTCTCTGTGTCTGTTCAGATACTTACAGCAAAGGTGGGACTTCTGTATATATTGGTGAGAACCCTAATTTGCCTATTTATTTATTATATATTTATTTATTATATATAAGTCAATAATCAGTATTTGCCAAGGACTGAAGCTGTAACTCAGCAAAAGTTGCTCAAGACAGAGCCCTCTAAAGCAATGATACAACACACTCACCTCCATCCCCATAACTTGTACATAAGCCATGCAGAAGGTATTAAGTGAACAAGAAATAATAAATGTTAACTCGAGATTAACAGCCCAATTCAAGACATGTGGCCCTAAACCTTCTTCCCTATAAGCAAGCCTACTTAGACTCTACACCCAGAACTTTAAAAAGCCAAAGCCCTGTGAATTTGTACTACTAGCAGGAACCTGTACTCAGGACAGTTTTTAATTCATTGAAGAAATTTTCTTACACGAGTTAACTGATTTTTACACTTCCTGTGTCTAAACTAAATCATCCCCTTTCCTGAGTTAGATTTTCCCCCTTCATCTCTGTATACAACACTGCCAGAGTTGCATTCTAGACTACAAGATACTGGCACCATTTAATTAGCAGTTTCATTTCAAAATTGGCACAATTTCATCTGCACAAAATTCATTTTTAAATAAACGAACAGGGAAGATCTTCTCCTCTTGCTTGCTTTTATTTCACTCAACTGCAGCATCTCCTTATACAGTGGGAAAACACTATTATTTGAACTAGTTCATAAGTAAAAGACATAAAATGCATGCTTATAATAAAGTAAAATATATATTTTGTAAAATAAATTATGACATGAAAAATAGCAGAATGCAGGCCAGATTTGTGTTCAGTTTTTTGTCAATCTTGTGTGTGCGCGTGTGTGTATGAATGAATTCAGCTGAAAGTGATTGTGCTTGCTTCTGTGCCGAGGCGTAGGGGCACAAATCTACTTAGCTAGAAGGAAGAATAATTCATAGCAAAGATACTGGAAATCTTGCCTACTCATTTATTCTAGTGGCACTTACATCTCGTCTGCCTATGGGAAATCAGCCCCTTGCTGAGAACACAAAAACAGATTTGGCTGAAAAGGCAAATGAGACCTAGTAATGTAAACAAATTAACAAAGTAAATATACTATCATAAACGTGTTCCCAGATCAGCCCAACTCAACCACATCTCTGATGTTAGTTTGTATTTGCATTTTACAAAAGTGTAGAGCACTGTAGAGAAGACAGAAATGTGGGAAAGGATGTCTAAGAAGCATTTTAAGTTCCCATGACCCTTGCCAGACTTACACCATCAAATGTGGCCAGTCTCACATTACAGAAACGTGCACCCAAGCTATTGTCTGGCTCTGTCCTTGCCCAGGTTTTCAGAATGTGTATATGGAACTTTAATTAGCCATTTTGGCAAACGTCCTTATTCATTTTGTTGATTGTAATACAACACTTGTCTTTAAGCAGTTTTGTATTTGCAATGTGCCTCTTGGTGAATGGAAAGGGACAATTTTTCCTAGGAACTGGTTTGTTTACGTTATATATAGTCCGCCTTTCTCAGTGGGATTTAAATCAGATTACAGAGTCAGATTACACAGATTATGGTTTTAATACATAAGAAGAAACTTCTTAGGCACTTGGAAACTTTCTTACAATAATAAAGCTAGTTTAAAAAGTAAACTGAGAAAACACCAGTAATTGAGAATATAAAGTAAAAGTTAGGGGGGGGGCAATAATTCTTTATCATTAACACAGGTGACCAAATATTGAAAGAACAAAGGCACATGAATGTGTTTAAATGCCAATGAAATGTTAAGATGCACTAGAAAGTGGTGCTGGGGAAATGCTGCTTGGCTCAGTGGTATTTATGTTTTGGGGTCCCACATGATTCCATTCTTAGCTCTATGGTGTTTAATATCTACATGAATGCACTGGGAGAGGTCACCTGGGCCTTTGGAGGTGCCACCAATATGCAGCTATATTTCTCCCTAACATCTAAGCCTGCTGTATCCATGGAAGTCCTGAACAGCTGCCTGGGGAAGTTAATGGGATGCGTGAGGGCCAATAAACTGAAGCTGAATCCAGACAACACTGATTTCTGTTGGTCAATAGAGGACACACTTGGAGACTTCTCTTGGAAGGGGTTACTCCCTCTGAAGGTGCATGTTCATAGTTTGGTGGTGCTGCTAGATTCTGGTCTACAGTTAGAAGGCCAGGTCTCCTCCTTCTTACTGGCTTCTGCTGATATGCCAGTTATGGCTGTTCTTTGAAAAGCATGATCCGGCCATTGTGTTCCACGCTCTGATCACATCTAGGTTAGATTTCTGTAATGTGCTGTATGTGAAAACAGTCCAGATACTTCAGTTGGTCCAAAAAGTAACAGCCAGGCTATTGTCTGGCATTGGATACAGGGATTATATTGCTGCCATGCTGAAAGAACTGCACTGGCTACCCATCTGTTTCCAGGCACAGTTCAAAGTGCCAGTACTTACCTTTAAGGCCCTAAAAGGTTGGGACTAGGATACCTCAATGACTGTAACGTCTGCCAGTTAAGACCTGCTGTTCAAGCTCTTCGCTCTCTGTACCCCTTCTGTATCTTCAGAGGTAAGGCAGGTGGCAACTAGGGGTGTGCAATTTTTTAAAAAATTGGTATTTCTGAAGAATCCTACATCTCAATATTGGTATGGGACAAGCAACACCAAGCAATTCTATCCAGAATGACCAATTTTGTGGCAATAAAGCAAGCCCAGAGGTATATACAAACGAACAGAAGCTGATGTGGCTCTTTGGCTGCAGGATAAGCTCTGCTTCCCCTGGTTCTGAGTCTAGTGATTTTGCTCCCCCTCCCCTGCACCTTGACTTTTAAAAAACAATTTCCAGGCATGTTTATACAATTAACCTTTATTTGATGCTTTACGTCAATCCAGCCACCCTTCTGCCACATAAACACTTGAAACACTGCTGGGCAAGGGATAAGGAAGTGATGTTATAACTGTACAGTTCAAAAATGGGAAAGAAGGAAAAACAGGTTAATATGGGCATAACGAAATACATAACAATGTATGCTGCAGAGTGCCATTAACAGCATGGTTGAAAAAGGGCACCAAACACTTGTCACAAGCTCCTAAATCATCAAAATTATTTTCCAGACCATATCAGTGGGAGAAGCACATTAGTATGCACATTCTTTATATATGGAAATATATTCCTTTCCAAGACTTAAGTGCTCCCACTTAAGCATCTAGTCTATTCATGAAGGTCACGCACAGGTCTCTGAATCTAGGTGATTACATGGAATTGATTTAAAAAGAACTAATTTTAGGCCTCCTTCCCTAGAAGGATATTCTAGCAGTAGTCTCCAATCCTACTGCCAAGCTACTATCTACATAAATTAGCTTAGTATCAGCCTGATTCTTCAATATCAGCCACTGCTAAGAAGTACTCTTTAGTACATATTTTCATTTCAAGACTTCTCCTGAAATTACACTGATGTTCTGCTGCTAGATTGAACTAGATCTTAACTTATTGGTTTAACTTTAATTGCTTGGCTAGAGGTGGGGGAAAGTGTCTATGCAAAAGGCTAGTGCTTCTCACTAAGCATTTCCCCTCTCATTTTTGGAATTAATGTGTCAGCTGAGATGCAGTTTCAAGTTTACAGTTCATCTGACATTTCCTTATCTACATCATCTTTCTATAACACCTTCTCATAAAAACATGATTAACTGGATTGAAATGTACAACACCATACACAATGAAAGCGATCAGTATGTCAATATATAATAACAAATCTTTAAATCATGTTTTGTGAACGCAGAAGAAATATGTACACTGTGATTTAAGGTAGGAGTTTCTAGCTCTGAAGGAATGGGGTCAAGTAAGGGTCATCGGTCTTCAGGCACATTCTTTGGTTACATTCCAGAGTTTAACAAATAAAATGGCAATGACTCTGTTCAAAGTCAGGACTAAATTTCAGCTAGGCAGCAATGCATCTTTGTTTCTTCTAAGGTAAGGCAATATGAGTCCTTTCAAAAAATAGTTTTGTTATATCCATAAACGGTAAAATCCCAGTACTACTGTAAGACATGTAAATACAGAACCTGAAAGAAAATAAGGGTGGGGAAGAAAGTACATGAATTTTTAGTCCTTAATACCTATAAAAATAGAAGTCTGACAACCTAGTAATGCTTCAGGATATGGTTTCAATCGGTGGGGAAGAAAGTACATGAATTTTTAGTAATGCTTCAGGATATGGTTTCAATTCTGACTATAGCTGCATAGATGAGCAGGATCACAGTCTAAGAACTTACAATACCTATTTTAAGTACACAGTTTCAAGGAATTTTGGCCACAAAAATTATAAGAGGATGATGTGGAAAGACCAGAGTATAAATCTACCACATCCCTCTACTCTATAACAGTCATTATAAGAGATCAGAAAATATAGCAAATAGTGTTTGAGTTGCTTTACATATCAGTGTAGAGTAATTCAATTCTTGAAAACATGGCAGTGTGTAATGGTGGATATTTATAATGAAAGTTATCACGAGGTATACTGGTATACAAGTAGCCAGTAACATAGGAGATGCATTACACAGAGCTATACACAGACACATGCTGAAGGCACTGTTTCATCAAAAGGTGTGAGTATCCAAATAGTGAAGAGATTTTCTATTTTAAACCAATGGATAAGCCTCCACCAAACAATTAGTAAATCCTGGCAAGCAACCAGAAGTCATATTTGATGTAAAGAGTACTGGAGTCCACAAATGCCCAGCAGACATTCAAGACAGCTGATTAAGCACATGCCCCATGAGAAACCTCCTTACCTGCTAAATATTTAATGTTGTCAAGTTTGTGTGATTCAAGCATTGTTTTCAGTCCCGCAACCTCTGTATCTATTTTCCTGTCTGCATTTGTTAACGCTCGGTCCTGCTGTGCATGCTTAAAAAGACAAAATAACCAATGTTTCAATTCCATTTATTATTATTATTATTAATAATAATAATAATAATAATAATATGATTTCTGAATCGCCCCATCCCTGAGTACACAGGGCTCTGGATGATTTAAAGGTAAAGGTAAAGGTTCCCTTGCTCGAAAGCCAGTCGAATCCGACTCTAGGGTTGCGGTGCTCATCTCCGTTTCAAAGCCGAAGAGCCAGCGCTGTCCGAAGACGTTTCCGTGGTCATGTGGCCGGCATGACTAGACACCAAGGCGCACGGAACGCTGTTACCTTCCCACCGAAGTGGTACCTATTTATCTACTTGCAATTTCTTGCTTTCGAACTGCTTAAAAACATACAAAATACAAAACCACCAGACGGCGCTTGCAATTTAACTTAAGAACCTGCTCCGAGTTGTTCTTCTGTCTCATGGGCAGGTTAAGGGGGAGGCTGAAGTGGGCAAGATAGGACTGAAGAGGAGGGTGCCAGCTATGATGGAAACCGTTGCTGTCCTCAACCAAAAGCCTGGCAGAACATCTCTGCCTTACGGGCCCTGCATTAAATCCCACTGGTCCCAGACAGCTGAAGGCCTTAAAGGTCAGTACCAACACCCTGAATCTGACTCGGTACTCCACTGGAAGCCAGTGTAGCTGGCGCAGCACAGGTTGTACATGTGCCGTCCTTGGTGTCCCATCAGGACTCACGCCACCGTGTTTTGGATCAGCTGACGTTTCTGTGTCAGTTGCAAGGGAAGGCCAGCATAGAGTGAGTTACAGTAGTCTAATCTGGAGGAGACCGTTGCATGGATTACCATGGCTAGGTTAGGGTGCGACAAGAAAGGGGCCAATTGCCACACTTGGTATAGACGGAAAAACACCAGTTTGGCAATATTCATGACCTGGGCCTCCATAGTTAAAAAGGCAGCCAGGATCTCGCCCAAACTCCTGACGGATTGCGCTGATGTTAGTGGCACCCCCATCAAGCATGGGAAGTCTGAGCCCCTGCCCTGAAAGGCCCCCCCAGCACAGAACCTCCGTCTTCATCAGATTCAGCCTCAGCCTATTCCCTGAAAGAGAAACACTATAGTCTCTTACACAGTACCCTTCCCTTGATAATGCTATTAACATAAAAATATTACTTGCGCCAGTTGTTTTCCTGCAGTTACTGTGAGGCATTTGCAAATCCCCACACTCCCCTTCCTCCAGCTATTTCCAAGTACCTATGCATTACATTTTCACTCTTCCTAAAAATTACTCTAACACGTACAACTTCCCTAGCAATATTTATAAGTAACTCTCCAAAGGAAAAGAGCTTATTAGAACTGCCTAGTGCAGTGGTAAATCCTATTAATGTATTCACTTATTCTAAAGAATTCTATGGAAACTACTAGAGAAAAGATTAGATCTTCAATATGAATTTCCAGAATCTACATACAAACTTAAGAGGCGGCAGTTTGGGTTTTTTGGAACATAAATGAAGCATTTCTACACTAAAGACACTTTTGCCATTTTTAGTTGCAATTTGCATTATTTGCTTGAATTCTAAGCATATTTACACAAAGTAGCTCCTGTTATAATGAATGTGGCATTTCAGAGCAAAAATGATTAAGATTAAACACATTTCTAATTTATTAAAACTTAAATTCACTATTGTTGTTCAGTCGCACAGTCGAGTCAGACTCTTCGCGACCCCATGGACCAGATCACGCCAGGCCTTCCTGTCTTCCACCGTCCTCTGAAGTTGGCTCAATTTCATGTTCGTTGCATCTATGACACTGTCTAACCATCTCATCCTTTGCCGTCCCCATCTTTTTTGACCTTCAATCTTTCCCAGCATCAGGGTCTTCTTCACTGAGTGCTCCCTTCTCATTTGGTGGCCAAAGTATTGGAGCTTCAGTTTCATTATCTGGCCTTCCAGGGAACAGTCAGGGTTGATTTGTTTTAGGATGGACTGATTTGATCTTCCTGTAGTCTGAGGGACTCTCAAGAGTCTTCTCCAGCATCATAGTTCAAAAGAATCTATTCTTCGGCGCTCGGCCTTCCTTATAGTCCAACTCTCACAGCCATACATGACTACTGGGAATACCATTGCTTTGACCATGCGGACTTTTGTTGGCAGGGTGATGTCTCTACTTTTTATCATGCTGTTTAGGTTCGCCATCGCTTTCCTCCCAAGGAGCAGGCGTCTTTTAATTTCATGGCTGCAGTCACAGTCTGCGGTGATCTGGGATCCCAGGAACGTGAAGTCTGTCACTACTTCCACGACTTCCCCTTCTATTTGCCAAGGAGTGATGGGGCCGGATGCCATGATCTTAGTTTTTTTGATGTTGAGCTTCAAGCCCACTTTTGCGCTCTCCTCTTTTACTCTGAGCAAGAGGCTCTTTAGATCCTTTTCACTTTCAGCCATTAGAGTGGTATCATCTGCATATCTGAGGTTGTTGATCTTTTCCCCAGCAATCTTAATTCCCGCTTGTGATTCATCCAGGCCAGCATTTCGCATGATGTACTCTGCATATATATTAAATAAGCAAGGTGACAGTATACATCCTTGTCGTACTCCTTTTCCTATGCTGAACCAATCAGTTGTTCCGTATCCGGTTCTAACTGTCGCTTCTTGGCCCTTATACAGGTTTCTCAAGAGACATGTGAGGTGGTCTGGTACTCCCATCTCTTTAAGGACCTGCCATAGTTTGTTGTGATCCACACAGTCAAAGGCTTTAGCATAGTCAATGAAGCAGAAGTAGATATTTTTCTGGTACTCTCTTGCTTTCTCCATAATCCAGCGAATGTTGGCAATATGATCTCTCGTTCCTCTACCTCTTCGAAACCCAGCTTGTACTTCTGGTAGTTCTCTATCCACGTACTGTTGAAGCCTAGCTTGTAGGATCTTGAGCATGACCTTGCTAGCGTGTGATATGAGTGCAATTGTGCGATAGTTTGAACATTCCTTGGCATTGCCCTTCTTTGGGATTGGAATGTATACTGATCTTTTCCAATCCTGTGGCCACTGTTGCGTTTTCCAAATTTGCTGGCAAATGGAGTGCAGAACTTTAACAGCATCCTCTTCTAAGACTTTGAATAGCTCAGCTGGGATACCATCACCTCCACTAGCTTTGTTGTTAGTAATGCTTTCTAAGGCCCATTTAACTTCACATTCCAGGATGTCTGGCTCGAGGTCAGTGATTATACCGTCGTGGTTGTCAAGGACATCGAGGTCTTTCTTGTATAGTTCTTCTGTGTATTCTTGCCATCTTTTCCTAATCTCTTCTGCTTCTGTTAGGTCCCTACCGTTTTTGTCCTTTATCATGGCCAGCTTTGCATGGAACGCTCCCTTGATTTCTCCAATTTTCTTGAAGAGATCTCTAGTCCTTCCCATTCTATTGTTTTCTTCTATTACTTTGCACTGTTCATTCAGGAAGGCCTCCTTATCTCTCCTTGCTGTTCTCTGGAAATCTGCGTTCAGTTGGGTAAATCTTTCCTTTTCGCCTTTGCCTTTCGCTTTCCTTCTTTCCTCTGCTATTTGTAAAGCCTCATCAGAAAGCCATTTTGCTTTCTTGCATTTCTTTTTCTTTGGTATGGTGGTGATTGCTGCCTCCTGTACGATGTCACGAACCTCTGTCCATAGTTCTTCAGGCACTCTATCTATCAAATCCAGACCCTTGAATCTATTCTTCACCTCTACTGTATATTCATCAGGGATGCGATCTAGGTCAAACCTGAATGGCCTCGTGGTTTTCCCAATTTTCTTCAGTTTAAGTCTGAATTTTGCAATGAGTAGCTCATGATCTGAACCACAGTCAGCTCCAGGTCTTGTTTTTACTGACTGGATAGAGCTTCTCCATCTTTGACTGCAAATTATATAGTCAATCTGATTTCGGTGTTGCCCATCTGGTGATGTCCATGTGTAGAGTCGTCTCTTAGGTTGTTGGAAAAGGGTGTTCGCTATGACCAGTGTGTTCTCTTGACAAAACTCTGTTAACCTTTGCCCTGCTTCATTTTGCTTTCCAAGGCCAAACTTGTCTGTTATTCCAGTTACCTTTTGACTTCCTACTTTAGCATTCCAGTCCCCTATGATGATGAGGACATCATTTTTTGGTGTTAGTTCTAGGAGGTGTTGTAGGTCTTCATAGAACCGGTCCACTTCAGCCTCTTCTGCATCAGTGGTTGGGGCATAGACTTGGATTACTGTGATGTTGAATGGTTTGCCTTGGAATCGGACAGAAATCATTCTGTCATTTTTGAGATTGTATCCCAGTACTGCCTTTTGCACTCTCTTGTTGACTATAAAGGCCACACCATTTTTTCTACGAGATTCCTGGCCACAGTAGTAGATATAATGGTCTTCTGAGTTAAATTCGCCCATTCCTGTCCACTTTAGTTCACTGATTCCTAGGATATCGATGTTCAGTCTTGCCATCTCATTTTTGACCACGTCAAGCTTACCTTGATTCATAGATCTTACATTCCAGGTTCCTATGCAGTATTGTTCTTTGCAGCATTGGACTTTCCTTTCACCATCAGACACATCCACAACTGAGCGTCCTTTCGGCTTTGGCCCAGCCGCTTCACTCTTTCTGGGGTTACTTGTACTTCCCCTCTGCTCTTCCCCAGTAGCATACTGGACACCTTCTGACCTGAGGGGCTCATCTTCCGGTGTCATATCTTTTAGCCTTTTGATACTGTCCATGGGGTTTTCTTGGCAAAGATACTGGAGTGGGTTGCCATTTCCTTCTCCAGTGGATCACACCTGGTCTGAGTTCTCTGCTGTGGCCTGTCCATCTTGGGTGGCCCTCCATGGCATAGCCCACAGCCTCATTGAACCACGCAAGCCCCCTCGCCACGACAAGGCAGTGATCCATGAGGGGGAAATTCACTATACTTAAGTAATGAATAACCAGAAACAGTTTCATTTAGACAACTTTTCTCACATGTACAAGCATTCATCTTTGACGTGGTCTCTATGCTTCACACCCATGGGATCTAGTGCGCACACGCTGGAT